AGGAGCATTCTACCTACTCAAAAGTCTTTCTTGTTTATTTTCTTTTCCTTTGACATTGTTGTTTTACCATTGATTTGGTAAGCAACCCTATCTTTGGATGTAAACGGGACGGGTGTGGGTCATCGTATAACCATGATTAGCAATGTTGCAAAGTATCTTAGAATTTTCTTTAAGGGACTAAGATCATTTGAAAGACAACTTAGATAGCGCCATCGAGGGACTATGATCTTATATTTGCTTATTTTTGCTAAGATACCTCACATGCTTAATATGGCCATTTTGTAAAGGCAACCAAGTGGATTTACCCTAGGGGTGCTTGTGTGCAAGTGTGTTGTTTTCCCGCTTGATTTTGTCTTGAAATTAGGGTTTTCTAAGTATTGGTTTTAGTCTTTCCATACAAACCCTAATTACTAGCATTTGTATATAAAAGCGATAAATTGCGGAATTTAAAGTTACTACGCTATTACAACATTTGTGGGAGGGGGTGTACAAATTGAATGGGGATTGCAAGAATGTAAACCTAATTATTCTATTACAACCATATTGAATTGGTATCAATGTACAAAGAAATAAGTAAATACAAAGTACAAGATGAATAAATGTACAAAAATGGAAAATGTAAAGAAAATGGATCTTTGTTTGATTTTCATGAGAAAAAGGAAAATTGTCTTAACCTAATTAATTAAAGAAAATAATTAATTAAACTTAAATTTATTAAGAAAAGATTTTAAATAAAACCCTAATTCTATTAATTGATCAAAAGAAAATAAGTTTAAGAAAAGTATTTTTTTGGTATTTTTGTTTTGAAAATATTTATAGCTTTATAAAATATTTGTAGTCTTTTTTATATCAAAAATAATATATTTTAATTAGTGTGAAAGAAAATAACTAATAACCTATTTTTAATTAAATTTACAAGATAATAAGTAAAAATAAATAAAGTATAGTTAATAAAAATATTTTTTGTGAGAAAAATAAAAATAAAAATAAGCCAAAATATAAATCTATTATTTTTTGTATTTTTATGATTATTTTAGTATTTAGAAAATATATTAAGGAAATCAATAAAATAAAAATAATAAAATAAAATAAATTGGGCCAGGGGTGTAAACAGCCTGCAAGCGGGTTAGTAAGCAAAAAATAAAAAAAACAATACAAGCCCTAAAGGCCCAGGCGCTTGGAAGGAATGCAAAACATGTAAAAAAATGCAAACGGGTACCACTGGGGCTCGAACCCAGGTCCCAAAGGTTACAGGCGCGCGCTTCTACCACTGGGATGGCTATACATCTGTTAACATAGGCAAATCAATAAATATACAAGGCAAAATGTGCCCTGATGACTTCATCTTTAACCTCCAGCCAGACCAACTATAACTTGCTCATTTCTCATCAAAAATGAAAACTGTAAACATGAAACTTGTAGCAAATTTTCTCACGGTTTTAGAAATGTAAAGCATTAAAACTATAGATCAAAGATAAGCATGAATTTTAATGGTCCTAATCTGAACCCTAAAAATCTCAGAAATTTCAGTTTCAAAATTCTCTAAACTCAAGCAAAATTAATGGAAATTATCGACATGGTTAGCTTCAGGGCAATGATATCTACATGTTTTATTCACAAATAAATCATCGATGATGTCTGTATGAAGAGTTCCAAAGTTATAAAACTTACCTCAAAACTGGAAATCGTGTTTTGAGTTTGAGCTTGATTCAAGTGATGGTGATGATCAGGTTAGCTTCCTTGAGGTCCCGGGAAGCTAATGCAATGATTAGCTTGAGCAATGGATGGCTGAAATGGTTTGGAGAAGTCAATATGTAGAGCTCTGTTTTTGAAAATGGAGGATGGTGTTAATGGTGTTACAGTTCTGTAATAGTGTGTGGGATCAACTCTATATGAGGTTTAGAAGCTTTGGAAACCAAAAGGCCAAGAAACGCACGAGTAGATTATGAGTTTCAAGTTTTTTGTCAGTTTGTGTGAAAATGGAAGTGTAAAGTGTGATTCTGAGTTCTAGCTCTTTTTAGTGGTCAAGAATTTGTGTGTTTGTGTCAAATGGTTTGTGTATGTATAAACAAAAGTGTTTGAGAGCTTTGGACAATCAAAAGTACAAGTTTCTAGCTTTTGTCTAGGTTACTTGATTTTTGAAGAAAAGAGGGAAACAAGTTTCAAGGAGAGGTACAAGCATGGGATGGGTGATTGTAAGTGTTTGAAACATTCTCATGAGTTATAGGACCTATTTGATCATAAAATAGAAAGTGTGAGGCTCAAGAACAAGTTTTGTACAAAAAGTCACTTTATCAAAATGGCAATGTAACCTTTCTTCCAAAAATGGATATAAAGCATGTCCGTGGATTGGATGCTTGAAGTGAGGCCTCTAACAGCTGTGTAAACCATTAATTATAGAGTGCCTAAAAAGTTTGAGGCCTGCAAAGTAGAGTTAATGCAGCACAACTTTGAATTTGAATTTTGTTCATCACTAAAATGACTTGTAATTAAAGTGATAAAACCCTAACTTCATCTCTTCGATTCTCCCTACTCAAGAATGATCTCAAGGAGTTATTGGACATTTTGGAAAGCTTGAAATATTCTCTACAACCCATGTTTGAATTGATTTTGAAGATTCCATTTGGAACTATATGAAAAAGTGCCATGAAGTTGGGTCAAAATCCTGACCAAATTAGGGCAAAATTTCACTAAATGTTTTGTTTCATGACCACATGTTCTTAAAATTATAACTTGAGATCCATGCACTTTTGGGAGAAGTTGTGTGAAGAAAAGTTGTATATTTCATGGATATATACAACTTTCATGTTGGAAGTTTCTCTTGAATCATCTTGCATCATGGTGAAAATTTTGCTCAAAATTATGAAAAAAGAAGAAATTTTCAACACTTAGAAAATTTTCTAAAGTTTAGAAATTTTAACTTTTCAAAATGAAATCTTGAATTTTTTATTTCTTGATGAATAAGTTTCATATTTTGACATGTTTTGATGAATTGTGATCTTTGGCATTTGAATTTGACTAAAAAAGTCAAAGTTTGACTTTTCAGTATACAGTTGACTGATCAGTTGACTGCAAAAGTCATTTATCAATCCAGTGGACTTGCAATGTTTTGAACCATTTCATTAAGTCAAAATCATGCAATTGGACTCTTGAGATCATGCCTTAAAGCAATTGATTATTTTCTAGGTCAAAAATCAGAAATTTCCCTTTCCCAGTCAAAACCCTAATTTTGACCATTTTGCCCTTTTGGAGATTTGATCAAATTTCTTGAGGAGTTGTGATCCAAACTTGATCAATTGATACATGTGAGTTTAAAATGTTGATGTGGATCAAATAAATTTAAGTTTGACTGTAAATTTTCCATAGTTGACTTTTTCCTCAATACAATTGATTTTTAGGTCAACTGCTCAATTGACTGGTCAAAAATGTGATCCAAGGCTTGAAACTTGACATGAGTAATCTTGGGGGTCCAGAATGATCCATGAAAATCATATGGGGCATAGAAAGTTCAAAAATCCTTGTGCAAACTCAAACCCTAATTTTGGTCATTAGTGCTTAAGGAGGTGTCTTAAGTTGATCAAACCCTAGTGCAATCTTGAGCTAAGGAGATCTTGTGAGCAAATTCTTGATAAGTGAGAGGGAAATTTTTGGGGAACAACAATATGCATCGAGTTGCATTACATAAATGAGTTGTGTGCATAATATTTGTTTTGTGTGTGATTGTGGAGTTAGGTGTGAAAATGTGTTATGCAATGTTGTGTGGAAATATTTGTAGAATATGTGTGTTTTATACTCTACCTTGAAGTATGTAACACTTACTTTATTAATGTGATTTATCACCCCTTCGTTGTTGTTGTGGTATGTTCTCCTCTTTGGAGTACAGATAGGCATGTAACTGAGTAGTTGCTCAAGAGTTGAAGGAAGGCATGATGGTGTTTCTTCATTTTTCTTTTTGAGTTTAGTTTACATGATCTGATATGTAACACTAGGAAATGTTTGCGAGTTTTGTTTAATCCTTTTGTTAGAGATTTGATGTATACTCTCATGTTTTATATTTCTATGTTTTGAGGAGATTTCACTTATAATTCTGACTATGCCATAATGTGCAATTGAAGTTTAAATGATTTTAATGATTTGATTAATGCATGCTTTATTGTGAGAAATTATTTTGTTATGATACCTTAAGAGGGGGGTAAGCATGCGATGACACCCTAAACAAAGGAGTTGATTGTCGTTTGATTTGATAAAATGTTATAGGGCATGTATGTTTTAGAAAAGAGAATGTGTGAAATCCTATTTCTTGAGTCAATATTGTAAATTATTGTATAAGGGAAAAATAAGGTGTTACATCATGCATCAACTATTGTGAAACAGATGAACGATCACATCTAGCCGAACCTATACCTCATTAACAAAATACGTACATATTAACATGGCATGCTCGTGAATAAAACAACTAAACATGGCTTCAAGAGGACCTTAAGGTTTCTTGCACTTTAAGCAAATATTTGTACTGCTCTCTATAAAAAAGGAACTCGACAAACTATAAGGTTCAAATTGAACCCCGATGCTCCTCATCTACCATATAACTAAGAATTATGATTAACAGAAGCACAATATTAAATCAAAAGCACAAGCATACGAAAGATAATGATATGAATAAAATTTGTTTACAAGCCGAGGCATGAAGTCCCAACTAAATCTTACATGAAAGAAATAAAAGTAAAAGGGGGAGGAATAAAAGATCCTCAAACACCTGCTCCCGGATCTAACACACTCGGATCACCCCCGACATTCTCTTCAAAAACATATCAAAAAGGATCCAGTTGGTCGATAGTGACAAAAATGTTAGGACAGAATCCTCGTACCTTCTCCAATGTTTGATCCCGCACCTGGTACACAGACACCATCACCCGCTGAAAGGACTTTTGTGACTTCTACTGTGAAACATCTATATCTTTTGCAAGGCCTTTCAAAACTTTAACCTATTTATCCTTCTTTTATTGAAGAGCTTCCCGATTTTCTTCAAACTCATGGCACACCTTCGCCTCAGCTTCAGAAGGCTTTTTCCAACGATCCTCTCCCTCAAAAAAAGAAGCCTCCAACTTTGCTATCTGAGCAGCCAAAACAAATGGAGATCCATAGACATCCAACTTCTCCTATAGAGAATCAACAAGCTTAGCCTTTTTCTACAACTTAGTCAATTCCTTCATCTTATATCACTCCATGACAAGGTCTCTAGAGCCTAATATGTCATCATGGCCGGTGGCTACCAGTGAAAACAAAGACCTGGCACACAATATGGTACGAGAATAATCCTTATAAATTCCTAGCATGTTTTCCCAGACATGTTCCAAATGAAAGCTAGGTCCTTTGTGGCCTCAACAGTAGAAAATTCCTCCAGAGTTCTAGGTACTCGAGCTAGAATAATATCATGAAGTTGGAAGAAAGGATTAAGAGCCTCTCAGATTCCAATGGACCTGGAGGCGAAGAAAGATCAATCCCATATCCCAAACATCATACTGAGAGGTGTCGGTCGCGTAAAAGAGATAAAAAAGAGCTCTGAATAAGGTTTCCAAGATATACACTTGACATACAGTTAGAACACCTTTATACAATCCCAAGCTCCTAGATAAAATTTCAAGGGGGAAACCCATAAACAATTCAACACAACTACCATAAAATTAGAAAAAGGAAGACATACATGAAAAACGACCAAGCAAGCAACCTTTGAAAGAGTTGCATATCATGTCTGCAAGACTACAAGAAAAATCGACTAATTTAAGGAATTGTCGACCATAACGTCAGCATTAGTTATAGCGTTGGCAGTATTCAAAGTGGAAGGAGTCTTTACAACTTTGGTGGCCACCCAACGATATCTATTAGTGTTATATGACTCAACTAACTAAAGTCCCTTTCAATCCAGCTCATCAATTTAAAGTGATCATTGGGACTAATCTAAGACGCCATGTCAAACTTCCCTCGACACTCTAAATGATGTGCGATTTCAACTTCGATGGGCTCACGGCCACTCATTCGCCAATATTGTCGAATAAAGCAACCAGTACATTCCCTTCTTTAATATGAAGCTTTTATTTCCACCTCAGTGAATATAGGAGGAAGCAGCGGTTTCTCAACAGAGCTTTTACCCCACTGGTCTTTCGTGAAAACAAAACCTCTGAAGGATCTCTAGAAGAAACTCCGTATGAAAGAGAATCTCCATACACTCTCTCCGATTTGAAATCCCCGCTGACAGCAGAAAGATAATGTGATCCATAATCCATTCCCCTTTTTGAAGAAATGCTAATTTCTGAATCACTCTCTATAATAATAGGACTATCACTCCTCCTAAAAAGAGATAACAACTTCTTGAATAAAAAATATCTAGTTAAAGGAAAGTACCTTAAAGTGTGAAGTCAAAGACGAGGATGTGAAGGTTGATGGTTGAAGCTTGAAAGCTTTGAAAATCTATAGTAGTTACTACAAGAAAAATGCTCTCATGGAATAAGGAAATATTCAAAGGAAAAAAGGGAAATTCAATGTAATAGATTGCCAAAAATTCCCCAAATTTCTTCTACCCTTATGTGAGCAAAGGCCAATCGGACGAGTTAAATTGAAAATGAGAAAGAACTGAAACAACAATAAGATTTCACCTTGGGAACACAACTGAACTCAAGTACACATTAAGTTGCGTCACGTCACTTTCTACATTTTTAGGTCACATGTGAAGAAAAGAAATAGTGAAACGTCTAAATGATGGAATTGAATTTAATGCTCATGTTCTCTATTACTCTTTAGGAAAACCAAAGTGATGCATGCCCGCTAAAGCACGAATAACCATTCATGAAGGACGACCACGACTGCTAAAGGACTCCTTCGACATCCAAATTGCCCAATGAGTCTAGGGGGAAACTTTCCACGTCATATGAAGGTGTAATTTCACATCCCTAGGGGGAGTTTTTTGCATGTCCTTATCATATGAAAGGGAAGCATCCCCGATATGGTTACTTTGTTGCTTGTCTTATCAATTTTTTTTTATTATCGTTTACTAATCTCCCTCGTAATTACACATCTTTTGAATTAAGTTTGAAATCGATTCATTATCATTTTAGCACGCATAAAACAATGGTTACGTTTGAATTTGATCAAGATGTGTTTAGTCAATTACATGAGTTTGTGGAATAAAAATCTTATGTTTTTGATTCAAGTTAGGTGCAAAAAAAAATCTCAAAGTACCTTTTGAATCATGAAAAATTTAGTTTTTGGGTGTTTGATTTGAATAAATCAATATACACACTCATTATGATTCGAATCAAATCCAACATGGTGAACAAAAAAACTTCAAAACAATTTGATTCGTATAAGGTTTTGTACATGATTTGAATCAAGCAATTTTCTGTCACATCTGCTCAATTTGATTTGAATCACACAATTTTTTTAGCATTTTTCTTAAGGGCCAAGAGCTGTTGATTTGAATCACATTTTGTACATGATTCAAATCAAATGGTCTTTGATTCGAATTAGACGTTTTACTTGATTCAAATGAAGTGAAAAATGGGTCAAAAATCAAAACTATTTTTATTCCATTCGCTTGCTCATTTGACTCAATCCATGCATTGTTCTTGATTTGAATCTAACCAACTTTTACCACTCATTTTTGTGCTTGAACTCAAGAGCATATAAAACCTTTTGTCAACACTTTTTCATGTTAGATAATTTCATATTCATTTTGATTTTCTGTGAAATCAACTCTCTCACTTTGAAAAGTTAAAAGTTAATGCATTTGAATCTTTTTCTTCTTCAACTTAGGTTTGTGTTTAGATCTTGATCATGAGGGATCTATGATTGGGGGAGACAATATATTAAAACTAACCATTATTGGAGATTGGTTAAATATTTTTCAGGTTGTTGCAAGATTGAGAAGTTGTCACTGGTTCTGACAAATTCTAATGAAAATAATGTGTTTTTTCTCTCTATATTGCCTTAGTAATGACTGTATGGAAGGATACAAATAGGGCGAAGTTATTCTAGGATCTTTATACAATTCACCGCTCAAGGAATCAGTGGGATCAAAGGCTTAATTGCTACCTGTTGTACCCCAAATTTTGACCTAAGATACCATCTCCTATCTGCATCATTACATTGCAAGGGTTTTGACATATTTTTATCAATTTTCAAAGCAGATTTAAAATTCATAACTTTTTCAAGTCGAGAGCTGTTTATTTTTTGAACGCTAAATTGATTAATCGATCAATGTTAAAACAATGTTTATTAATTATTTATTATCTTAAAATTTAAATAATTGGAATTAATTTTCAGTTATTATATAATTTAAAGATTTATAAATAATAAATTAAATATTTGAAAAGAAGTTTATTAATTGATCAGACAATGTTTATTAATTATTTATTATCTTAAATTTAAATAATTGGAATTTATTTTCAGTTATTATATAATTTAAAGATTTATAAATAATAAAATAAATATTTGAAAAGAGTTTATTAATTGATCAACAATGTTTATCTAATTATTTATTATTCTAAGTTTAAATAGTTGAAATTTTATTTTTAGTTATTATAATTTAGAAGAATTATAAATAATGAAGTAAATAATTGACGAGAAGTTAATTGGTCAATGATGTTTATTTAATTGTTTATCATTCTAAATTTAAATAATTGGAATTGATTTTCAGTTATTATATAATTTAAAGAGTTATAAACGATAAAATAAATAATTGGAAAGAAGAAAATAATTAACTGGAAAAATAATAGAATTTTATTCATTTTATTCTAATTGTTACAATTGTTTGTTTAAATACTATATTTATTTAACAAAGTATTTACAATGACAATTTTTACAATGTTTAAAATGAAATAAAAACTATTCTAATTTTTCCTAAATTCTAAATCTTCATCTTCTATCCAATACTTCTTTAATGCCCATTTGATTTTTACCTGCAAAGAATTAAAAGAAAAAGTCAGAAATAAATAATTAAAAGCAAAAAATTAATTTTAGCGTTCATCATTAAAAGCAAACGGCTGGAATCAGTTTTTACACTTTTTTGCAAATCACGGGATTTCTCCCGGTTCACAAAAAGGGATGATTTTTTATTAACAAATATGAATGCACAAATTTAAATATGCACAAGTTCATTTTTTTGTCAAAACTGCATTTTTTAAATAAACTGCATAATTAAAAAACCAATATGCATAAATTCTTTTTGTCAAAACTGCATTGTCAAATGCATAACACAAACAGCATATGCAAATTTTCAGCACAAGCCAATGCAACGTAAACATGCAAACATGGGGGAAGAGGCCAAAAACACAAAGGTTCCCATGTTGTACAATATCATTGACAAAGAGCATGCAGTTTAAAATCCAAATATGCAAGCAAAGTATATTTTCCATTTCTCATCATTTTCCAGTTTGCTTTTTCAGAACAAATAAAGTACATACATCATTTTAATGTCTATTTGTACTAGAGAGAGAGAAGAGAGGAAGAGTTGGTTTTTACAGGTTTTGGCATTAGGCAGGAAAGGGAATAGAAACAAACAGCAGTAACACAGTCAAGAAATGGGAAGCATGAAAGAGGAATATGGACAAAACTGATGTAGCAGCCTAATGTGCAGAGAGAAGGCAGAAATATAGTAAAATATACAACCTGTAACGTAAACCTCAAGGGAGGAAGGCCAAACTGCTATAACAACAACAGAAACCCTTCAAAAATATTCAGAGTCCAACCTGTGAAAAAGCCTTCAAAATTCCAAACTGTTATAATACAACAAACCCCTTCAAAACAAAGGAGAGTTCACAGCCTATTTTCAAGCCTGCCACACTCAAAACTGTAAAACAAAAAACAAAACCATTTTCTCAAGCTCTAAAGCCTAAGCCTTAGAAACATCAACCATGGCCTAAACCACAAACTTGTTTCAATAACCTGTAACAACAACCTTGGCCTAAACCATAAAAACCTGCTATCTCCAACAAAAACCAGTAGAACCTGCATTCAAGACAACCAAAACCATGGCCTAAAAAACAGCATACCCTGTCAAAACACGAAAGCCATGGCCTAAACCATAAAACCAAAAACCAGTTCAAGCCTGAAGTGAAACCAGTAAAAGCCATCACCAAAAAATTCAAACCACTGTCAATCCATTTCAAAGTCCCAACCAACATGGCCAAGTCAAAAACCAGAATACCGCAACATTGCAAACCTTGAAAAAACAACGTCCAAACACGAAGGCCTCAGAAATACATCATCATAGGCCATTAGAAAGGCAACAGTAGCAAGGCAAGAAGAAGAAGAAGAGAAGCTAGTTAAAATAAATTTTTCAACAATAGCATTCAAAGTATCCAAGGCAACGGAAGTAAGGAATAGGCAACAAAAGAAGTAGACAGAAGCGAAGGTTCAATACATCATCATCACCAAACAAAAGAGGAAAGATACAAATACAGAGTACCAGGAAACTGAAGCAAGCATCACGCGTTTCATCCCGCCCTTGGCCTCCTAAGCACACCCAACCTCCCTTCCTCCGTCTCCAGGTAACATGTCCCCTTCTCTTTCTTTCAAAACCTCAAATAACCATTAACAAGTTCGAAGTCAGAATCAATAGACACAAAATCACCACATGCAAATTGTAATAAAAACCCTAACAAATAGAACACAAGTTTACCGTAAATCCGTCGCCCCCTAACGCTTTGCTGGAGGGAAGAAGAAGATTGAGGTACTGGTGGCCTTTGGGCAAGAGAGTTCAGGGCATGAGAGAAGATGAGGACGAATCAAGAAGAAGACGATACGAGACGAAGCGGCGCCGTTGCTGTTAACCAAAACCCCTAATCCCTTTTTCCCTAAGTTAAAACAAAATTGTCTAACCCTAAAAACAATTATGAGATATGAATGGGCCTCACCCCATTTTCTGCCTAGAGCCCAGCGAAATCCCTTTGTACACCCCCTTTTCTGTTTGTTTTGGTTGGGCTTTTCAAAAATCCTTTAGCCCATAATTGTTATTATCTATCCCTTATTTCTTGATACACCTCTCTTTCTATTTTACTATCTTTTAGCCCCTTTTTTAGCATTTTTATTGATTTAGTTAATTAGTAAAACTTAACCAATAATAGAGGTAGTTTAATTAAACAAATTTTAAGTAATGTGACCAATTTTATTAGTTTAAACTTTAGGTTTAATTTAATAATTTTAGTATTCCCTTTTTTTAATTAGATTTAAGTTAATAACTTTTAATTTTTAAGTTGGTTTAGAGTTATTTAATAATTCTCAAAGTAAT